ACCCTGAGAGCAGACCCCCTTCCTGAGGCAGAGCCTGAGGCTGGGAACCCTGAGTGTCCTCTCACCTGTCACCACCAGCTCCAGGGGGTCACTGCGCTCTGACCAGCCAGCAGGGCTGCGATACTGACAGCGATATCTACCAGCATCACCCTCTGTCATGCGGGTGATGGACAACATCACCTTGTCACCAGGCTCCAGTGGCTCCTGTGTTTTCCATGGTGCTGAGCTTCCCTCTTTCTCCAGACGGTACTCCTCAGCCTCTGGAGACCCCTGACACCAGATGGTCACGGGGCTCCCCCAGGGTATCACAGGGCCTGGCTTAGCCCAGATGGTGGGTTTGGGGAGGGGCCCTGGAAGGAAACCAGTAGCTGTGTTCTAAGATATTTCGCACCCTCAGTCCCAGCTCTCAGCCCAGGAACTTCCCAGATGTTACTCGTCTGTTAGCTTAGAACACTGTCCTTCCCCTGCTGCCTGGGGGGTGGTCCTTGTCCCCAGTGAGGAGTGGGGTCTGGGACACCTGGGGAGACTCACCTGCCTGCACTGGAGTCCTGAGGCCCACACTCAGCCCTGGAAGAGAGTCCCTGTGAGAGATTTGCCCTGAACCCTGAGCACCTCCCTTCTCCCCATGAGCCTCCTGAGTCCTGGGTCCTGACAGGCCAGGGTCCACTTCCCCCTCCCATCTCACCGAGGCAGAGCAGGGCCGTGAGGGTGGCGGTCATGGCGTCTCCTCTCTTTACACCTCGCTGTGCAGATGCAGGAGGCCACAGTGTCCTCAGAATAGACAGACACATAGGGTGTGGCCCCTGGGAGACTGGCCCTCCCTGTGACAGGGCTCTCACCTCAGCAGCCCCACAGAAAGGGGAACATTCACTACCCAGAGGCCTGCATCTTGTTTCCATGGTGAAGCAGGAAATAGACCCAGAGCCTCCTGAGACACCCCAGGCAGGTGAGGTGACCCAGGGCACATCCTTCCCTGTCAGAGCCTCCCCCACGGGGTCTCCTTCCTCCTCAGCCCGTCCATCAGCACCTCCCTGGGGTCCTCACCATGGACAGTGTCACCTGAACCCTGGAGACGCTTCAGGAAGACGTGGGTCCCTGTGGCCTGCAGAGCTCAGATCAGCAGGGACAAGCTCACTTCTTACTGTGCAGCTCAGGGCGATGTCCCTGTGACAATGAGCACAGAGGGAAATGCAGGGAAATAAGGGAAGGAAACACGTCACTTCTCCTGGCCCTGACTGTGGCTTTATTTCTCTCACAGCTGCCTTCGAGGACTTCTCTTTTTTTCGTAGCCACAGCATCTACCGCCGCTTCTTGGGGACAAACTTCTGAATCATTTTTCCTCCTCAGTGCCCCTTGCTTCCTGTGTTAAAGTTTCCTCCTCACCCTGTGATCCAGCCTTCAAGCTTTAGGGTACATTGATTTGGGTTGGAGTTCTGATTTTGACTTAAAAAAATAAAATATTTATTAATTATGTAATATATTTACTGATTTATTTATTTATTAACATTATTTTTTGCTGCCTACAAGAGACCCGTGAAGTTCTTATCAAGATCCTTGAGCAACATTATGACCATTGTTTTGAGCTCTGTATCTAGTGGTTTGTTTGCTTCCATTTCTTTTAGTTCTTTTTCTGGAGATTTCTTCCTTTTTTTTCATTGGGGATATGTTTCTTTGTCACTGCATTTTGGATTCTTCCCTGTGCTTGCTTCTAGGTATTATGTAGAGCTTCTGTGTCCCCTGGAATTGGTAGGGTGGCCTTGCATAGTAGGTGTCCTGTAGGACCCAGTGGCTCAGCCTCCCCAGTTACCTGAGCAGGGCTCTCTAGGTGTGCCCATGTGTTGGCTGTGTGCACTATCTTGTTGTAACTGAGCCTTGATTGCTATTGGCGTCACTAGGAGCAATTGACCTCCAAGCCAATTGGTTGGGAGGACCAGCTGTGACTATAATGGAGGAGCTGCTGTGCAGGAGGCACTCCTATGGAGCAGGACTTGCTTCAGTGGGGCTTTGGTGCTCACTGAGTCTGCCCCTTGAGTGTGTCTCTGATGGATGTGTAGAGTTGTAATCTGGTATTTTCTGAAGCTGTTCACTGGGTACAGTCGTTCTGGGCCTCCAGGGAGGTGTAAAGTCCTGGGTCACCTGAGAGGAGCTACAGAGTGATCTGCAGATGGCTGCTACTTGTGTTGGCCTTGGAAGTGCCCAGGGCAGGCCAAGCCGTGATGCCAGGCAGGCTGCTGCTAATGGCAGGGATTTAGTCTCTTATTGAGTGTTATGGGGCACAGGGAAACCAGCTGCTGCTTGTTTGAGAGATTTTAGGAAAGTCTGAGTCCTGAGCAAGGACAGGCCATTCTTATGGAAAAAGGTGCTGCAAAGGTGGGGCTCCGAAAGGGTGGGACAGGGTTACCACCGAAACTGTATTTCATGAAATGTTAAAGGGTCTTTTGGGAGAAGAAGAAGAAGAAGAAGAAGAAGAAGAAGAAGAAGAAGAAGAAGAAGAAGAAGAAGAAGAAGAAGAAGAAGAAGAAGAAGAAGAAGAAGAAGAAGAAGAAGAAGAAGAAGAAGAAGAAGAAGAAGAAGAAGAAGAAGAAGAAGAAGAAGAAGAAGAAGAAGAAGAAGAAGAAGAAGAAGAAGAAGAAGAAGAAGAAGAAGAAGAAGAAGAAGAAGAAGAAGAAGAAGAAGAAGAAGAAGAAGAAGAAGAAGAAGAAGAAGAAGAAGAAGAAGAAGAAGAAGAAGAAGAAAAAGAAGAATGATGATGATGAGGAGGAGGAATAAATATGAGTGATAAAATGGCAATAAATACATATCCATCAACAATTGAATCTAAAGATCAAAATAAATTAACAAGCCAAATGGATACAAACTCATAGATTCAGAGAACAAATTGGTTCTCACCAGATAAGCGGGGAGTGGGGACTGGGTGAAAAAGGTGAGGAGATTAAGAAGTACAAATTGATTGTTACAGAATAGTCAATGGGAGGTAAGTACATCATAGGGAATATAGTCAATAATATTCCAATATCTATATGGTGTCTGATGGGTATAAGATTTATCAGGATGATCACTTAGAAAATTATATAGTGTCTACTTACCATGGTGTACACCTGAAACTAATATTGAATTGTGTGTCAACTGTAGTTGAAAAATAAAAAATGAGTAAAAGCCTTTAATGAAAGGTCAAAAGCTACTTAACAGAAAACTTCTACTTAAATAAAAGGGGGTAACTATTAAAATGTTTTAACTTATTTTCAAACATTAAAAGGTCAATGGACTGGCTCAAGGGTTAGATCAAAGGACACCTGCCAATGAAACCAGATGTATGCAGCCATACAATCTTATTCCAAACAAAATCATTAAAGGGTATGTTGCATGAATAAAGAATGTGTTGTCATTATTCAATAAAATTAGCTGATTGCTATATAAATATTCAACAATATGATGCAATAATGAGTTACAAAATTCATTTTAGTTTTTAAAATACTATATTAAACAGACACTCATCACATGTCCTTGAAATACATAAAGTCTGTACATAATTGGAGACTCAACTGAACATTTATAAGATAAATGAAATGGGTGAAAAAAACTTTTTTAATAAGAGCGACTGACACAAATGCCTGGTCTAGAAGTACAAATTATTAATCTTTGTATTATTTATATTATATAAATATGGATAAATTTATATATAATGTATAAATAAGGTAATATAAATAGCAGCAGGAAAAATTCGTGTGTTTAAGACTTATATTGTACCTACAATATTTAACATATATTAGTAGGTTGCAATTTAATTAGCAGTCATCCCTAAAAAGATAGGAAAATTCTCAAACCAGCCTGAAATAAGTGATATGCTAAATCCGAAAATAGGTGCTTGAATTTATGCATTATTAAGAAAGAGAATGATGGACTTATATCAAAACTTGGAGGCTGTCAGAAAGGCAGAGTACACATCCTGAGAGACAACAGCGGGATGGCAGAATGAGCGATTTCTACAATCATACCTGAATTCCGCATCAATTTTGACCACCACCCACAGATGAGGGTTCCCTTGTTCAAATCTAGTAGAGAAGTTATAGCTTTTGGCTTGAGCACAAAAATTGAGGATAGACACATTAAAGAGGATATGAAGACCAGTTTCCTTTAGAACCAACCCCAATCTGGAACTACTCCTGGGATGTGACCTAAAACCGCCACCTAATGTTGGTGAACCCCATCTCTGAAATCACCCCACATCCACAATGCTGGGTTTCATGCCAATTCACATTCTAGGGCCATTGTGGGTCATAAGCTCTCATGGGCCCAGTTCAAATTCTGAATTGCATTACAGGCCATATGCTTCCTTCAGAGCCCCAGTATCTCACCTGGAAAGACTCACTGTGGGATTGCACTCAGGTGAGCCTGATCAGGCAGGCGAGGTCATGAGTTTGGAGAACACAATGATCACATGGGAAGGGTTTGCTGCACATGATCAGCAGCCACTTAGTGGTGGATGTGTCACTTGTGTAGGGTATGGCTTTCCCCCCTAGTTCATCTCCACCTCACTAAGTTGTGTGGGAAATAATGAGGGTCATAGAACAGAAATGCTCTATCTGTGAGTAGTGACAAGTAGATTTATGAGTCATCAAATGAACATTGAGAAGAAGGTGGCCATGATTCCAGAAGGCTCTGTGGTTTCCATCCTGAACAAAACCACCCAACACTTCCCAACTTGTAATCATCATGGATTTCCTGGAATTCCTTTATCTCGTTTATTTGTGTGGTTTATCTTAGGTATACACTCCTAAATAATACACAATGTCTCCTTTTCTTTAATGTCCCCTTATTAATATTGGGTAAATGGAATAATCCTAAAAACATAGGCTTACAATCAATCGTTTACATGTATTATTTATTATATGTGATGATGGATATACATGACCCTTGTAATTTCAAGTTGTGTATTTTGATTGATATATACTATTTGATAATTTTTTTATACAGGACACCAAAATCTCTCTTTTCTTGTGCCTACAATATTAGAGTGCCTTTTTTTGGGGGGGGGGAGTGGTTAATAAGAATAACTCTTGTCAATGTCCTTGTGCGTGATGCACATGTGCACATTTTCTCTAAGGCAGGTGCTTAAAGTCATAGCTGTGTGTCTCTAACTAGATGAGTGTCATGTAGTCTCTGAATTGATGAATATAATTGGCACTCGTACAAGTAATGCAGTAGGATTCTATGGACTCACGATTCTCTCCCACAACTGATAGTATAACATTCCTTTGTGCATCTCATCCGGATACATTGGGACTGTGCGTTGGAACTGTGGTCTCCTGTTTTCACAGAAACTGTGCCCCAACATTAAAGTAGAAACCATCGTTACACATCAACTAGAAGGGAACTTAGGAGCACTGTGGGCAATCAGTGTGGTGTTAACGGTGTCCCACATCGGCTTGTACTGTTTTGTGAAAGTCGGTTTGTGTATCGCTTCCCAAGTCTGCGTGAGGACCTTACATGGGAACTTGACCTTGGCCATGAAGGGGGCATATACATCAGAGAAAGTAAACTATGCCAAGAATCAATGTTTTTATATTAAATTTATTGGGGTGCCATTGATGAATGACATGACATAGGTTTCAAGGATGCACATCTGTAACATGTTTTCTGTGTGTTGCACTGTGTTTTGGACAGTGGGGTTTTCAGAAGCAGCGCAGATCAGAAAACCCCTTCAAACAACCAGGGGTGAGCTTTCTGCAGAAAGTACACAGGTGGCCTCCGAGGGCAGGTGAGGGGTACGTGGAGTTCAGAGAGGGCGTTAGGACCTCTTGTGGGTTTACCTCTTGCAGGATAGATTGTGCACTTTGTAGATTGACTACAATAGACGGCGTGCTCTGGACTCAGAAGATGGGGACTCCATACAGACATGAAAGTTCATGTGGTTAGACAAAGAAAAACATATTCCATGCAAGTATAGGGAGGTGTGGACCTGTACCTGCCATGTGGGTTAAATTCTAATTTCACCAAAATGGGGAAAGTCAGAACCAGTCACAAGACTCACAGGGGTCGGGAGGGAAAGGACCACAGTTCAACGGCAGAAAGTCCAGACCTTGTCCCTGCACAGGAGCGATGACTCCTCCACCTGCAAGGAGCCGCAGACAGATTCCTCAGCATATGTCCCACGTTATGCTCCAGAACCTTCCCAAGATCCCCCTCTCTGAACCGTGCATTGTTCCCTCCATGTTCATGTCCTGGCTGCATCCTGGGTCTGTTTTGGGCTATTTTGAGACCAAAATAGCAGCACCCCTAGTGCCACCAGTACCAATCCAGCCACGGCCAACCGGATGGAATTCTCCACGGTGTAGTCCTGTGGATGGGAAGCTGGGGATTGTGGGAAAAGAGGTCACAGAGGTCAGGGAAGGACAAAGTCACCCAGGACCCTGGATGCCCAACCACGGCACTCTCTCCCTGTGAAAGGACAGGACCGTCTATGCTGAGCCCCATAACAGACAGTGTCTCCTACTCACCACTCTTGGGGTCTGAGTTGTTCTGTGATGGGCTGATGGTGTCGGCTGCTCCTGAGAACCAGACAGGAGTGGGGCTTGGTGAGGAGTTGATGCCACTCAAGCACACGGTCCCCATCACTCTTCCCTTTCACATGACCTAACTGCTACCAGTCCCCCAACGAACCCTTTCTCTGCTGGAGAAGGGTCCTGCCTGCTTTCATGGATTCTTTCAGGCTCCCTGGGAATTTTGAGTTTAGACTTTGCTTCTGAGTCACTTTGGATCAGAGTTTGGCTTTTCCTGGAGAATTCAGGATTGAGCAGAAATATGGGCTCACGATTTGAAAAATGGTGAGTCTTTATTTATTTAAAATCCTCACTGAAGGATATTTTTTCCATTGATATTCAAAGAGAGTAAAAGGGACAAGGGGATGGGGAGAGAGGGAGAGGAAGAGAAAAACATTGATGTGAGAGAGACACATGGATCGGTGCCTCCTGCACAAGGCCTGACAGGGGTCAGGGATCACACCTGTGACCTTTGACTGGGAATCAATCCCATGGCCCTGTGGGACATGGGCTGATGCTCTAAGCACTGAGCCACAGCGGCCAGGGCCATAATTAGTTATTCTAATCTGTCTGCTCATTGTGGATTCTGTACCAGGGAAACTATCTCATCTGCATCTGAGAGCTTATATTTTTGCAACAGCGAGGACCCAGGATCCACACATTTGGTCTCTAATATGTAGACATTCATATATGTAAAACCTGAGCAGTTTTTGAGCTCTGAGTTTTACACTTGGAGACACTGAGGCCCATGCAAGGGAAGGGCGTATCCAAGTCAGTGTCCCTGGAAGGGTGTAAACCCCTTCATGGCTCACCCCTGTTCCCCATGGAGGCACCTACCACCTCCCCACGGCCCTCATTTACTCCTCTGTGGGCCTGACTCCGTGGGGCAGAGGGGGCCGATCCTCAGAGCCTCCTGAGGATCAGGATGGGTGAGGGTTTGGTGCTGCCTTTTCCCCAGTTGAGTTCACTCTCCCTCATGAGACTGGGCTCCAACATCTCCCTCTGCTATGACCACCCCACCTGTCACCTGCCTCACTTCCCCCTCTAAGGCCTGACTCTGGTGGGGGAGAGGTGAACCCTCAGAGCCCCTGGAGGCCTGTGGTCCCCCTGAAATCTCTCCTGGAATCCCTGCCCACCCCCGGACAGAAGCCTGTCCTTAAGTGTCAGGGGGCATTAGATCCTCTGAGAGACTCACAACCGCCCTGGGGTGGTCTGTCTCCCTCTGAGAGAGGGGACCCAATGGTTCATCAGCTGTGGACATGGGCCCTGTGGGTGGGGGGCTGGGTCCCAGAGGGTCCTGGGAAGGAGGACAGAAGGGGGTGAGAATCTGGGACTGACCCTGGAGTCCCCACCTCACTCAGATCCTCCTGCATCTGCCCTGTGGCCCCTCAGACCCTCCCACTGCCCACCGGGCACGTTCAGGATTCAGGTGACGGGGAGGGGTGCATGTGGGGTTGAAGAGGGTCTATGAAGTGCAAATGCCTTCTGGGTGACCATCCCTAGTGCACCCATACTCTATTCCAGCCCATTATCCTTCTGGGGACCGGACCCTGAGCTGACAGGGTCAGGGGCCACTCACCTGAGACCAGGAGCTCCAGGGGCTCACTGGGGAGTGACAACAGGAAGGGGGAGATGCTGAGTGAGCTGTAGCACCTGTAGGTGCCCCCGTGGGCTGAGGTCACAGGACTCATGGAGAACTCCGCCTGGTACTGCTGAGCTCGGTGGTTTGATTTCAAACGCAGGGGGGGATCCGCTGCCCCCTCCTTGGACAAAAGGAAAGTGCCCCTTGGGCTCTGTGACTGACACAGCAGCGTCACGTTCTCTCCTGAGGCCACCCTGGGGTCTGGCTGCACCGCGAGGGAGGGTCTGTCAGGCAGGTGTCCTAGAGAGAGGGAGGGAGGGTGAGGGCTGTCTGCCCACCTGTTCTGACCTGAGAGTCACCAGGCCTCTCTCTGAGGACCCACCCTCTGTCTCTGTTTCTCTGAGTCTCCCCCTCTGTGCTCCCACCCCCTGCCTCTCTCTGTCTCTCTCCCTGGGGCCTGCACTGTTATTCTGTCCTCACCACCTGAGACCCCAGCAGGGCCTGTGCAGAACCCACTGGCTGCTCACCTGCCACCAGGATGTCCAGGGGGTCACTGGGGGCCGACCACTCAGAGGAGAGGTTGTATCCACCGTAGCATCTGTACCTGCCCCCGTGGGAGCTGCTCACAGTGCCCAGGGGGAAGTGGGCCTGAGAGAGCCCAGCCTGGGGCTGCAGGACAAGGCTCTCGGGGAGGTCCCGTCCCCCCTCCTTGTGCAGAGCGAATCTGTCATAGCCGACATCAGAGAGACACTGGAGGGTCAGGCTCTGTCCAGAGGCCACGATGGGGCCCTGCTGGCTCAGGAGGGAGGGCTTCCCAGACTCACCTGGGGAGACCAGACATGAGTTATAGAGCTGCTCCTCCCAGAACCCCCTTCTCCTCGCCTGGCCCCTGAGTCTCACTGTCTCTCTCTGTCTCTGATCCATGGGTCCCTGTGCTTCCCTCACCTTCTCACGTGGGGGTCCCCTGCCAGCAAAGATGCCAATAATGTATCTGGTGCCTCAATCCATGGATGGGACAATAATGGGACTCACCTGGGACCAGGAGCTCCAGGGGGTCACTAAATGGTGAGCACACCTGGGGGCTGTATCTGGAACAGCCATAGCATTTGAATGTCCACCTGTCGCTGGTGGTCACAGGGCCCACAGAGAACAGGGCTTTGGAATGCCCACTGGAGTGTGGTGAGTTCAGGGTCCAGGAGAGCCTGTCATCTCCTTCCTTAGTCAGAATGAACTTGCCAAATGGCGGCCATGAGCCACACTGGAGGGTCACGTTCCCTCCTGAGGTCACCACAGGGCTGGGCAGGCTTAGAGGCTGGGTTTGCTGTAGGATCCTAGGAGAGGAGGAGGCAGAGTGTTACATGCGGCTCACACCTCCCTCATGTCCCCCAGGGCTGGGCTGTGAGAGGGACACACCCTGAGAGAAGACCCCCTTCCTGAGGGCAGAGCCTGAGGCTGGGACCCCTGAGTGTCCTCTCACCTGACATCACCACCAGCTCCAAGGGGTCACTGCGCTCTGACCAGCCATCAGGGCTGAGATAGTAACAGCGATATATCCCAGCATCACGCTCTGTCATTTCTGGGATGGAGAACATCACCTTGTCCCCAGACTTCAGTGGCTTCTCTTTTTTCCACGGTGCTGGGCTTCCCTCTTTATACAGATGGTACTCCTCAGCCCCTGGGGTCCCCTGACACCAGATGATCACGGGGCTCCCCAAGAGGATCACAGACCCTGGCTCAGCCCTGATGGTGGGTTTGGGGAGGGTCCCTGAAAGGAAACCAGTAGCTGGGTTGTAAGATATTTCCCATCCTCAGTCCCAGCTCTCAGCCAAGGACCTTCCCAGGTGTTCCCCGTTGTCAGCCCAGAACTGCTGTTCTCCATCCCCAGCTGCCTGTGGTGTGGCCCCTCATCCACAGTGAGGAGTGGGACCTGGGAACCTAGGGAGACTCACCTGCCTGCACTGGCGTCCTGAGGCCCACACTCAGCCCTGGAAGAGAGTCCCTGTGAGAGATTTGCCCGGAACCCTGAGCAGCACCCTCCTCCCCATGAGGCACTTGAGTCCTGGGGTCCTGACAGACCTGGGCTCCCCTCCTGCCTCCCATCTCACCGAGGCAGAGCAGGGCCCTGAGGGTGGGAGTCATGGCGTCTTCACCCAGTGGCCTCAGCTGAGTAGATGAAGACCACGGGGCCAGCGGGATAGACAGACAGATGCACGGGTGGTGGTCTCTGGAGGCCGGTCTTGTCTCTCACTGGGCTCTTATGTCAGCAGCCTGCAGGCAAAGGCACAGCCTCTCTCTAGCAGCCTGGCTCTCATTTTCATGGTGAAGCAGGAAATAGACCCGGAGCCTCCTGAGACGCCCCTTGCAGGTGAGGTGACCCAGGGCACGTCATTCCCTGTCAGAGCCTCCTCCACGGGGTCTCCTTCCTCCTCTGCCCGTCCATCAGCACCTCCCTGTGGTCCTCACCATG